ATCCACTGAAAGTATATGCAGCAGAATGAGGCAATGTGAGCACAGAATATCAGATACAGAAGATAGGAGTAGTGATCATAAAAAAGAAAGATTTCTTAAAATTAGCAAGGGACAAATGGAAAGACATCCCTTGCTCCTGGGTAGGAAGAATCAACATAGTGAACATGGCCATACTTCCAAAACTGCTATATAGATTCAGTGCAATCCCAATTGAAATCCTAGCAGCATACTTCACAGAACTTGAGAAAACAATCCAAAAATTCATTTGAAACAAGAATAGACCTAGAATAGCAAAAGCAATTTTAGGCAATAAAGACAAGTTAGGGGATATCATGATCCCCAACTTGAATTATACTACAAAGCTATTGTAATAAAGACAGTGTGATACTGGCAAAGAAATAGACCCGAGGACCAGTGGAACAGATTAGAAGATGCAGAAACAACTCCAGACACACTTAGCCACCTCATTTTTGACAAAGTAACTAAACACCCTCACTGGAGGGAAGGCTCTTTCATAAATGGTGCTGGAAAAACTAGCTTTTAACTTGTCAAATATTAAAACTATACCTATATCTCTCACCATGCACTAAACTAAAATCAAAATAGATTAAAGGTCTAAATATTAAAACAGCAACACTAAACCAGCTGGAAGAACTCTTGAAGACATTGGTATAGCAAAAGATTTTTGAACAAAACTTCGGTTGCCCATGAGCTAGCACAATCAACAAGCAGGGTGTTTTAGTAAAAGCTCTGCAAGCAAGAGAAACAACCAACAGTGTGAAGAGACAACCCACTATGTGGTAAAAAATTTCATCAGTTATTCCTCAGGCAAAAGGTCTACTATCTACAGTATATAAAATTTTTTTAAAAATCGGAACTCCCAAATCTAAAAGACCCAATCCAAAAATGGGCATCTGAAATGGACAGACATATCTCAGACAAAAAACAAAACAAAACAAAACAACAACAAAAAAAGAAATAGCAAATAAACATATGAAAAAATGTTCAACATCACTGGTCATTCCATAAATGCAAATGAAAATGCTGAGATTCCACCTTACCCCAGAAAGAATGGCTGCTGTCACAAAATCAACAAATAACAAATGCTGGCGGGGCTGTGGGGAAAGAGGAACACTGCTCCACAACTGGTGGGAGTGTAGAATGGTGTAACCGCTGTGGAAAGCAGTATGGAGATACCGCAGCGATCTAGGATTGGAGGTCTCATTTGACCCAGCTATTATCCTGCTAGTTATCTTCCCTAAAGAATTAAAATAATCATATCATAGTGATATATGTGCACCCATGTTCCAAGCAGCATAATTTGCAATCGCTAAAACTTGGAAGCAGCCCGATTGCACATCAATGGGAGACTGGGTAAAGAAAATGTTTTTTTTTTTTTTTTTTTTTAAATAAAAAATATCCTGGCCTTTCTTTACTGTGTTAATTCTTTTCTTCAGAGGGTTGCTAGAATTGAACCCAGATCTTTACATGTGTTAAGCAAGTTCACTCCCACTCATCTTAAACCCCAAATGCTTTTTTATTTATTTATTTTTTGTTTTTGTGTTTTGAGACAGGGTCTCACTATGTAGTTGAGGATTAAATAAAAAGCCATAAAAAATGAGAAATCAGAGACATTTATAGTTAAATCGATGAATATTAAGTCAATACTCAAGTGATATAAATAGGACACATGTGTGTAGATACCAAATAGTTTCTCTAGTGTAAGAAACTTGAGTGTAAATAAAGACTAAAAAGTATAATAGATAATGTGAAATAGGAGGAAAAGGGACAAATAAAGGGGAAATGGGAGGAGTAGGGGAAAGTAAAGAAGGGAATGGAATATGAGAAAATTAAAAATAATGGAAACAAAGTCTTTGTACATGGGGGTGGGGGGGCTTGAAGGGAGGGCAGGGGAATGGGGAAAAAATAAGAACCAAGATTGATTATGCAAAGGTACAAATTTCCAACCATGAATGTCATTAAATGTACCAATAAAATTAATTTTAAAATAAAATAAAATTAGCAAGGGACCCTGAGAAATCAATCCAGCAGCTGTTAGATGATGCAAAATGAATAACTTAAGATTGATTGGAGTCAATGAAAAAGCAGGAGATAGTGCAAATGAAATTTTAAAAACTTGTTCACAACAGTAGTCGTACAAAACTCCCCAAACATGGAAAAAGAATTTGACATACGGATAAGTGAGGGATTTAGAACTCCAATTAGCCAGGATAAAAGAAATCCTCATCAAGGCATATAATAATCAAGATTTCAGAAATTCAACAATATTAAAATCTGTTAATGAAAAGAAACAAATTATCTATAAAACCCATCAGAATCACAGACTTCTCAACACAAACCCTCAAGTCAAGGAGAGCTTGGAGTGAAATATGTCAAGCCCTAAAAGAAAACTACCTCCATCCCAGACTGATGTACCCCACAAGATTATCTGTCAAAATTAATGGAAAAATAAGAAACTTCCATGACAAAGAACACCTGAAGAAATTCATAAACACCAAAACAAAACTCAAAGTGTTCTGAAGGATATTCTAGAGAGAACAAGAATTACAACTTCATAAACCCCAACAGAATGAATCCACTAGGCAAGGCAAGAAATTAAACAGAGGAGGAAAGAAGGGAGCCAACAACAGGAAAATAACATGACGGTGGTAATTCAATACATATTAGTTATAACTATCAATGTTAATGATCTCAGCTCACAATAAAAAGAAACAGACTGGGAGAATGGATCAAGAAGCGACATCCAACAATATGCTGCACTCTGGTTTCTCTTCAGACTGCATAACTCACCTTTTACCAACAATATGCTGCATTCAAGAAACACATTTAATTCAAAAAGAAATTCATACTACATGTATGAATATGCTAAACAATACTACATGTGACAGGAGCCTGGAAAAAAGCAGGGGTAGCAATTTGCAGATAAAGTAGATTTCAAGCCAAGACTGATTAAGAGAGAAAAAGAAGGTCACTACTTCCTTGTAAAGGGAACAATCCAACAGGAAGAGATAATCATAAATATATATGCACTAAATAGCAGTGTACACACCTATACAAAAATATTAATGGACATGAAAAATCAAATAAGCGCTAATACAGTTGTAATGGGGGACCTCAATACTTACTGACACATATAGATCAACTAGACAAAAAGTCCACAAAGAAATATCAGAACTGAACCAAACTTTGAACAAACGGACTTCGCAGATGTCTCAGAGTGTTCCACCCCCAACATCAGAATACATATTCTTCTCAGCTACTCACAGGATGTTCTCCAAGACCACATACTAGCTCATAGAGCATGCTTAAGTAAATCCAAAGGAACTGAAATTATCCCATGCATATTATCACACCCTACTGCAATGAAATTGGAAATCAATGGCAAACGAAGCTATAGGAATGGAGCTAATGAGGTTTGGAGAAATTAAAAATCTAAGGTCTCTAAGCAAGGCAGTTGTAGACAATAAGATTAAATCCTAATGCAATAATACAATTGAGTACTTGCTGTATGTCAGGCACTGTGCTAAGCGCTGGAGGTACAGTGTCTTGGTTCAGAAATGGGAGAAGGGGGATGGAAGAGGCAAAAAAAAGAAAATAGCCAGTTACAAGATAATGTCATTACCCAATGCTAGAGGTACCAGGGGGAGGGGATTCTATAATGGAAACAAAGTCCTTCCCCTTCTAACCTGTTGTGGACCACCACAGAGATGTCATATGTGCTGGGGTTCTGTCCCTAGCCTTGTAATCAAGGGCTTTCCTCTAGTGTTGCTTGGGAGTCTTCTTGTTCAGACTCAGTACCTTCTGCTCTTTCTCCTGAAATACAAACTCTAGAGGGCTCTTCTTGGTGGTGTGTCAGCCTCCGATTTGTCTACCCCTTCCTGGCTTGTTCTTCTGCATACTTTGATAAGGCATTAGGGAAAGGGGACACAAGAACACCTAGTTTCTTGGCAAGGAGGAAAGAATTGCAAGATGCCTCTCTTATGGTCCCCTTCTTTTCTCCAGATTGCCATGCTCCAGCCCCTACCCACACTAGCATCCTCTCCTTCACAGAACCCCTTCAGAGGGAAGTGTTTGCTGAATGAAGAATGGGACTTTCTGACATGTTTTGTGAAGATAGTTTTCTATCATGCATCAACCCTAAAACCTTTCATATCTGTGATAAGAAGAGAGAAAATTGCAACTCTCCTTTCATTATATCCTCACTATGGAGAATGTTTTTGGATGCTCCAAGAGTTAAAGTTCTACCTGGCTATGAAGTGAGTTTGCTCCAACCTGTATTTTTTTAATAGCTGGATTAATGTGTTTCACTCATTGGAGAAGCGGGTGCCAGAAGAATAGACCATGTCATTGTGTTAGCTTCCTGGTCGTGCGAGTAAAGAACAAAAAAATACTGTTAAACATTAGCCACCCAAAGAGGATGGAGGCTGGTGAAAATAAATAAATATGCTTTGTGCTGCAGGCTGGAAGCATGGTTCTCTCCCTGTACTGATGTTCACAGGGGTCTTGGGTATCCCGGACTACTTAGTATGACAGAATTACAAGAAGCTGAAATTTCCAGGCAACCTATGATAAAGGATGTCAACAGGCAAGGATAGAGAAGCATGCCACTGAATGGGATAACAGAATCGACAATCATCTCTAGGATCGGTAAGACCAAGGGTTCTATTATACTGTTAAGGGGACCACAAGCCCTTTGCCCTGCCTGTGAGCCATCAGTGCTCTGCTGCACATGGCAGCCAGGCACTTAAGTTTGCTTTGAGTAGAACCAAAGAGCAAAGGCAAATTGCTGGTTGGGGCTCACATTTGGGCAGAGGCAAAAGAATAGTTGCTAGAAGGATAATGTATGAAAAGATTCATCAGAAGTGGGAATTAGAACTAGAGGGGATCATGAAAATGTTAGCTCACTCTCTAGAAATTCAAAGAACCTGGAAAGGGGGTCCTGGATCCAGAAAGATCCCAGAATTGGGAACTTAACCCACCTTCAAGGTTCTGTATCCACTTCGTCTTCTACAATACCAGCAGCCAATGAGCAGTAAAATTCCCAGGATGACTGTCAGGAGCCCAATCCCTGCAGCCCTGGAGGAGATACACAAATTTAATTAGGCACAGAAATACTGTTCCATAGTGTGGTGAAACATAAATTAAACTTCTTCCTTCTTCATATGGGCCCACTGGAGCAGTGCTAACTGCAAGGCCAAGCGCCCAGGTTCCAGGCAGAAGAGATGTCCGAATAACTGATTCTCACAGGGACCGTATATTTATTGCGGCTTTATTGGAAGTGTTTTTTCTTCTCATTGGGGCTGGTTCATAGCATTTTCTCCAACTCAGCCCAGAAAAAGGAAGCAGAAATTAATACTGACTGAACATCTACTATAAGCCAGGTGCTATGCCCAACATTCCACATTCTAGCTAGGACTATCTCTGTCCTAAACTCCTCTCACCCCAGGCGGCCCAGTGGAGAAGATTCTGAGTGAAACCTAGGGCAAAAGATACAGAGTTTCTACAGAAAGATCTGGTCCTAAGCCACAGAAAGATAAAGTGGAGATCTAAGTCATCCTCTTAGGCCTTGTCTCTAGTGGCCCTGGGAAGCATTACAGTTGCCATGAAGGCCTGGAAAGAGGCTGGGACTGTCAGCTCACATCTGCCTGATTTTCCACACCACAGCATGGTCAAAGTTCACAGTACTGCATGTTATCTGTGTCTGTGCACTTGCTAAGAGAGTTCTGCAGAACTAGGGGATTTGTAAGAAAGGAGCAAGGCTGAACAAAGCCTTATGGAGAAAATTTTGCCCAGTGATACCTACCAAACAGTCTTGAGGCTACGAGGCATCAAACCTGTTATGTCCAAGAGAACCATGAGATGGCAGTGCTACAGGAAGTTCTGACCCAATTACGTAGGCCAAACTACCTGACTTCTAGATTAAGAAGCTGAAACCTACTAAAATTCATCCGCGTTACCACCACCTCAGTGACAGAGCACCAACTTGTGCCAGATACTCTGCTAAGTACCACACATAGGTGCCTTTATTTTACACTCACTACAGTTCTCTGAGATATACATGATGTTCATTTCAGAGTTGACGTTAGGCTGGTAAATTGGCCAAGGTTGTATAACCAGTAAGTGGCAGGACCTGCGTTCTTAGTAATTAGCACTGGACATCTGCAAAGAGAGCTCTAGAATTTGGGACAGACCCAGATCTCCCATCTCCAAGGCCAGTGCTAGTCCTGCAGAAATTAGTTTCTGAAAATGAAGCTGTCACAGGAGCGTTCAGGAGCTCTCGTGACCGAGGGCATCTGATCCAGTTCCCAGCATGCCTGTGCTCTGGCTTGATTCTGTGGTCTCCCCTTCAACTTCCCCACACAGACAGAGCTCTGTTCCAGCTCTCCGTGCCAGATCACGTTGTCCTCAGAACACGCCCGAAGATGGAGAGCATGAAACACCAAGGAATGCCAGATGCACCAGAATAACCCACTGCCCAGCTTGGCAGGGGTCCTCAGAGCGTCACCTGCTTTGCATTGCTCAGTCCAGCGCAGATCCATGGGCTCCACCCATGACTGCCAGCTCAGCCTCTCTGGTGGCAGTGCCTTGAAATCCGCACTTAAGTAAGCCCTAGATGATTTATGTCCCCGGAACTGTGCGAAACTGTCTCCTGAGCCTTCCGAGAGGTAGGTCACACTCAGAACAGGTGCACTGCCCGTTTGGCCGAGTATGGCAATTTACTGCACAGTATTCTCCCTCATTCTGTGGCAGTGGGGCGAGGTTGTAAGATGGATAAATGCCTTCGGAGAATCTCAGAGATGTGTTGCTTCGATGTAGCTGTCCCCATTCCCCTACCTGAGCTGGGATTTTCTTTTTTTTAATCAAAGTTTCCTCTTTTTTGAGAGAGAATAACAATAGTTAATAGTCAATACATTGTGTATCCTTATCTTCAAGGTAGTTACTCAGAGCACTCCTCTGTGGTAAAAACAAAAACAAAAACAAAAAAAACTCTCTTACAAAGAAGAAACAGGTATTAGCACAAAATTTCCTGTTCAACAAATTAAGAAAAACTAGTAGCATAAATGAAACAAACTAGCATATCATTAAAATACTTTTGAAACAACAGAATAGGTAATTTGGAGAATTAGTTGAACTTCTCCCTACTCTCTATTTGTCTGTGAGCAGAGATCTTTCATGGGAGGATATCAGTGGCCCTATGCACAGTTGTGTTCTTTCACGGACTTGCATAAAATCACCGTGTTCCATGAATCCAGCGGCTCTCTCCTTCACAGACTGAGGTTAAGAGACCACAGTGTGGGAGCTTTAGATGTGGAAATGACATTCGGCCTATGGAGGGACGGCTCCCGGCCTACAGGTTAAATGCTCTAGAAGCTACAGGCTCCCCTGTGTTCTCCTGGGGGGCAGGGGGGCAGAGGATTCCCCAGGCCCTGCACGAACACTTTGCTAAGCAAGCGCGACTCACAATGCTTGTGCCTTCAGTCCAGGGGTTGGTTCCATTACGTGGTGGTGGTATTAAAGCCCGTGTGTCCCTAATTTAGCCACTGTCACCTAATTCCAAGTGCACCTTTCCATGCTGTGCTGGGGGTGACTCTGTAAACCTCCCTTCTCCTCTGCCCCAGCGGGAGTTCCGGAGACTGGAAGAGGGAGTTCTCTATGTTCTGGTTAGCACCACTTCAGCAGCAGGTCTTCGCAGGGTCAGTCCCAGCCACCAGCTGTGCTTCTCACTCCCAGAGCAGCCTCGTTAGCTCCCTGCTCACTGGCCAGTGTCCCCACCTCTAAGCTGCTGAGGCTCCAGAGCCAGCCAAATAGAAATGCCTCCTCAGGGCCAGGGATTTAGCTCAGTGGTTCTGCCACCTGCCTCACAAGTGCAAGGACCGGAGTTTGATCCCTGGCACAAAAAAAAAAAAAAAAAAAAAAAAAAAAAAAAAAAAAAA